ACGTCGAGCACCATCAGAATCAGACCAATCACCAGTGTTCCGTTCGAGTCCTGCTCCGACACCAACTAACCAACCAGATCTATCCCCAGCTCCATCAAACGAGCAAGTCGAAGCACCAACACCAACAACACATGTTGTTGAAGCACCGGAAAAATCACCATCATCTTCAACTCTACCACCGGTTGTAACTGCACCGCCACCGGGAAATAACGACGGCGGCGATGATTTTATCCTCCCACCAAACATCGGATTCCAATATGCATCTCCACCACCGCCAATGTTCCCAGGCTACTGAACCAACCATTTTTAATATTTTACATTTTGGTCCAAATTTTTTTCCCAATTAACCATGTTTGTAACAAAAATAAACATTTATTAATTTGACCATTGTATTCTGTAAGTAGATGATTTTTAGAAGTGACTTTTCCAAAATGAACCGTAAAAACCTATCTGTAATTCTCTGTCTATAGTGTAAATTCCTCATATCTCTCGTGTTTATCACTCACTTTTATCTACCTTTTTTGGGATTTTAATGTGTTTTTGTTTACTTTCCAAAGTGTTTAATATCCATTCATTTTTTCATTTCTTCTTGAATTCATATCGTTTGATTTGCTTGTCCTTAAGCAAACCTAATACTACTAGTTAAGTTTAATCCTGGTCTTCAATGGCAACTACCATATTTCTGACTTTCAATTTTCTAAATATTCTCAAATAGATTCACATTTAGAATGATTCATAATTTGAAAAACAAATTATTGCCTATCTCAGATTTTTTTTCCTTGTGTATGACGAGAAGTAAGTCAACTTAAATGGTTTTGACCCAAAAAGTCAACTTAAATTAGTGTTCAACTATGAATCTTTTTTTTTAATCCAGCTTTCCAAGATCAATTTAATTTTGTCCTAAATCTTGATACAACTTCGACTATGACATGTTTTTTATTTGTCAATTAAAGTGTTAATTAATTCATATGATTCAAAATATCCTCTGACCGGCTTAATACTAGCTAATTTTAAAATTCATTCAACGAGAAAAAAGTCTCAGTTACTGAGTTCGTCAAAGTTAGCAAAGTTGTAGTGTTATATTATATTGTTAACCATGACATATATGCGTTAAAAAAAAAAAAAAAGATTTTCCATTTGTTAAAGTGGTGTATATAATTAGCAACATTCTTGTTGTGGACATCCAACCAAACACAGCATAAACTCTTTTGACTCATAATCCCCAAAGTCATTACTTGTAGCAAATGGAGGATCTTGATCCAACTTTCATCCAAGCACCAGAGCATAGATCAGAATCCAATTTCATCCCTAACCAACCGGACGAAATACCTGTGATTGATCTCTCGCGCCTCGACGACCCCAAAGATGTCCAAAATGTGATCTCGGAGATCGGTGATGCATGTGAGAAATGGGGATTTTTCCAGGTGATCAATCATGGTGTGCCTTGTGACGAAAGGAAGCGTGTGGAGGAAACTGTGAAGACGTTCTTCGATTTGCCTATGGAAGAGAAGATAAAGGTGAAGAGAGACGAGGTGAATCCGGTAGGGTACCATGATGGAGAGCACACGAAGAACGTTAGAGACTGGAAAGAAGTGTTTGATGTTTATTTCAAAGATCCAATGGTTATCCCTTCTTCCACAGATCCTGAAGATGAAGGTTTAAGAGTTGTTTACAATAAGTGGCCTCAATTTCCTTCTGATTTCAGGTAATTCTCTTTTAGTTAGATGATTTAGAATTCGGAACTATTCTATGATCAGAACCTTATCACTTTTTCACAAATCTATTGGAGACACGTGAACGCTATCTTCCAACTCTGCATATCAGCATATGATATGATACACGAATTCGATGATTTTATTCTAATTTTAATTTTCAAGCTAATCTCTTCTTTGTTTGTCCAATTCATTTATAGGGCGGCATGTGAAGACTATGCAAGACACGCTGAAAAACTAGCGTTCAAGCTTTTAGAACTAATCTCATTAAGCTTAGGGTTACCAAAAGAACGTTTTCATGATTACTTCAAAGAACAAATGAGTTTTTTCAGGATAAATCGTTATCCACCATGTCCACGACCTGACCTAGCTTTAGGTGTAGGCCATCACAAAGATGCAGACGTTATAAGTCTACTGGCTCAAGACGAAGTTGGAGGATTACAAGTTAGTCGTAGATCTGACGGTGTTTGGTTTCCGATTAGACCCGTCCCTAATGCTCTTGTTATCAATATGGGCAATTGTATGGAGGTAATAATATTTCTCATTCTTCTAACATTGAAGTATGATGATGACTACATATATTATAATGTAAATGTGGTAATATAGGTATGGACGAATGATAAGTATTGGAGTGCAGAACATAGAGTGGTGGTGAACACAACAAGAGAAAGATACTCGATACCATTCTTCTTAATGCCTTCACATGATGTGGAAGTGAAGCCATTAGAAGAACTTGTAAGTCCTGAAAACCCTCCAAGATATAAAGGATATAAATGGGGTAAATTCTATGTGAGCAGAAACAGAAGCGATTTTCGAAAACTCGAAATCCAAAACATTCAAATCGACGACTTCAAACTTGCAACTTGATACTATATATGTACCTTTTTTTTTTTTACCAAACGATGATGTTACTGTAAGCCCTTGATGTAATAATGTGTGAGAGACCGAGTTTATGCCGCTGAAGACAATAAATCTGAGTTTATGTCGGAAAGAATAAATTTGATCATGTTTGTTTGATGTAAGTTTGCGAGATTTTAAATTTTCAATGACATCATGATTTTGTAGTGAATTTTTATTCCATGTTTGTATTGGAAGAAATCGAAAATAAGAAAAATTAGGTTGTCGTACTAATGGCATTTTTATTTTATAGTAATTTTTAATTTAGGTAATTTCTCACATAAGGTTTTCATTATTTTATGATGATTTATTTATCATAAAGGTTTTCAAAGGGGATCTTTTTTTTCCTCGACGAAGAGGCATCTTCTTTCTTTTTTATTTTGTAACTACAAGAGCATCTCTTAACATTATTAATGATGACATACAGATAAGAACAAATGGGTATAACAAAAATAATTACATTTTACTTAAAAATATATTAAGTGGGCAATTTTAAAAAATAAACAGCATGTTTATAACAAATAATTGTTCTGGACACAATCGCATCGCATCAACATAAACTCGTCACCGAACTGAATCCCCAAACTTCTAATTACCTCTAACAATGGAGAAAATTGATCCAACTTTCATCCAAGCACCAGATAGAGCAGATTTGAATTTCACCAGCATCGACTCCGAAGATATACCGACGATAGATCTCTCTCACCTCGATGATCCTAAAAAGGTTCAAATCGTGATCTCAGCGATTGGAGATGCCTGTGCAAAATGGGGATTTTTTCAAGTGATCAACCATGGTGTGCCTTGCGATGCAAGACAGCGATTAGAGAAAGTTGTGAAGAAGTTTTTCGATCAACCTCAAGAAGAGAAGATAAAAGTGAAGAGGGACGAGGTGAATCCAATGGGATATTATGATGGAGAACCTACAAAGAACGTTAGAGATTGGAAAGAAGTGTTTGACGTGCATTTCAAGGATCCCATGTATCTTCCTACTTCAACAGATCATCCTCAAGATGAAGGTTTAAAAGTTGTTTACAACAAGTGGCCTCAGTTTCCTTCTGATTTCAGGTATCCAATTCTAGATATTTTTATTTTGTTAGTTGAAGAACCATTTATTTTATTTTTACGAAGTTCATTTTCTTTCTTTCTATCTCAAACTTTGATTATAGGGAAGCACATGAAGAATATTCAAAGCACGCGGAAAAACTTGCGTTTAAGCTATTAGAACTCGTCTCATCAAGCTTAGGCTTACCAAGAGAACGTTTTAATGACTACTTCAAGGAGCAAATGAGTTTGATTAGGGTAAACCGTTACCCACCATGTCCACGACCAGACCTAGCTTTAGGTCTTGGCCACCACACGGATGCAAACGTCTTGACGATATTGGCTGTTGATGAGGTTAAAGGATTACAAGTGAGTCGTAGATCAGACGGTGTTTGGTTTCAGATAGAACCCATCTCTGATGCTCTTGTCATCAACATTGGCAATATTGTATGCAGGTAAAATTCTTGATATTATATTTCTTTCTAAGAATTTTAAGCAACATTGACCAAAAATTACTTAATAATAAAAGTAATGATTATGAATATGAATAATAGGTGTGGACAAATGAAAAGTATTGGAGTGCAGAACATAGAGTGGCGGTGAATACAACAAGAGAGAGATATTCAATACCATTCTTCTTGATGCCTTCACATGACGTGGAAGTGAAGCCATTAGAAGAGCTTGTGACTAGTGAAAACCCTTCAAGATACAAAGGCTATAATTGGGGTAAGTTCTATGTCAGTCGGAACAGAACCGATTTTCGTAAACTTGATGAGATCGATACCATTCAGATCGATCACTTCAAAGTTCTGTAACCTATAATAATATAATGTATCGTGATTTTTTTTCTTTACCGATCCAACTTATTATCATACAAATGTGTGTAAGTTAAATTGGCCGGTTATTTTTAAAAATTTTGGTTCGGATTCGATTCCTCCATTTCGATTCGGTTCCGGTTCGGATATTCGGATCCGGGTTTTTTGCCCAGCCTACTCATGACCTTTATGAAGATTCCGTCCACATTCATATTTGGCGTCTTCTGGTCCTAACCATGACTGTTAATCCCCTAATTAACGTACATAAATTAGTCTAGATTCATTTCATTACCTATTTTTTACGATACACACGAAGTCTACGTGGCATTGTCTTAAAAACCAACCCAAACCGCACCACAAAATTTATCTGATATCTCCAAAGTCCAAAAGCCTTTACCAAATCAACCATCGCAAAAAACCGCCATGGGAGGACTCGACGAAGCTTTTATCCAAGCTCCGGAACACAGACCAAGAACTCATCTCACAAACTCCGGTGATTTCATTTTCTCCGACGAGATCCCGACCATCGACCTCTCCTCCATCATCGAAGATCCCAATAGCGACAAGACGACGATTGCGACAGAGATCGCAGAAGCATGCGAGAGATGGGGATTTTTCCAGGTGATCAACCACGGCTTATCGTCGGATTTAAGGCGTCGAGTAGAGAAGACGGCGGCGGAATTTTTCGATCTACCGACGGAGGAGAAGAGGAGAGTGAAAAGAGACGAAGTGAATCCTATGGGTTATCACGACGAGGAACACACTAAAAACGTTAGAGACTGGAAAGAAGTTTTCGATTTCCTCTTGCAAGATCCGACGATTGCTCCGGCGACTCCGGAGCCGGAAGACACCGAGCTCAGAGAGCTCACGAACCAGTGGCCTCATAATCCTTCTGATTTCAGGTGATCATTTGATTCCTCTCATTGATTGATTCGCTTTAAAAAAGGGTTTAAGGCCCAATGGGCCTGTCTCGAATCCACTTACTATAATCTAAGTATGTACTTGCTTAATCATGTGTGGTAGAGAGGTATGCCAAGAATATGCAAGAGAAGTTGAGAAGTTAGCATTCAAGCTCTTGGAGCTTATCTCCATTAGCTTAGGTCTAGCCGGTGATCGTTTAACGGGCTATTTCAAGGAGCAAACGAGCTTTCTGCGGTTTAATCATTACCCTCCTTGCCCAAACCCGGAGCTTGCGTTAGGCGTTGGACGTCACAAAGATGGAGGAGCTCTAACCGTCTTGGCCCAAGATAGTGTTGGTGGATTACAAGTGAGCCGTAGATCGGATGGACAATGGATCTCAGTGAAACCGATCCCTGATGCTTTGATCATTAACATTGGCAATTGTATGCAGGTAAAAATATGAACTTTTCATTCGTCTAGAAGCAATCACGAGGGATCAAGAAACCAATATACAATCTTTGATTTGTTATATTTAGATTCGATGAATGCAGTTTGGTCTTATAAACTTTTATGTTGTGGAGTTAGGTGTGGACAAATGACAAGTATTGGAGTGCAGAACATAGAGTGGTAGTAAACACAAGCAAAGAGAGATTCTCGATACCGTTCTTCTTTTTCCCATCGCACGAAGCCAATATTGAGCCATTGGAGGAGCTTACAAGTGAAGAAAACCCACCTTGTTACAAAAAGTACAATTGGGGCAAGTTCTTTGTTTCAAGAAACAGAAGTGATTTCAAGAAGCTCCAAGTTGAGAACATCCAGATTGATCACTTCAAGGCTTAATTAATCACATTATGTTCATTAGCAAAACATTTCCTAATATAATGTCTAAGGTGTTTGTACTAATTAGGTAGTGAACATGGCCAATGTTAAGAGCATAAATTAAACCCACAAAACGTAAGAGCATAAATTGTTGTTTAAACTATAAGAGGAGCTTATAATTCCATTGTTTTGCAAATGGGAGTTAAATATCAAATTTTTGTTCACAGTGCAAATACTATTTGTGCTAACGATAATATAATATGTGTGATATTCATAAAGGGGGAAAAACTATATTTGTACCCAAAAAAAAAACAAATCTTTAAATCAAAAGAAAAAATAAACAAATATTAATATTTGTAAATCAGTAATAAAAAAGGAGAGGAAAAAAAATGGTCGAAAAAGAAGAGTAGGTGGGGGCGGTCGGCTTTTTGATTAGTTAATTATAAAAAAAAAATCAGTAATAAAAACACACGAGTGATTAACCGATTCGACTCACCGAGTCAAAGGAGAAAACACAGATTCAACTCGTTCGAGCTACACAAGTTGGTTTTTTTTTTTAAAAACATTTTTCTTTTCCATTTTTTTTTTGGGGGTTTGGTTGGGTCACTCAGGTCAGGTGGAAAAGAAAAGAGAGAGTGTTGTGTAACCCCTTTGACCATAATCAAAGCTTTTTATAAACTCCTTCAGATCTGAAAGGGTTCTCAGTCTCTGTCTCCGTATTCTCCGGCGTCGTTTTATGATCTGACTTCGGTCTCTTCTTCTTCTCTTTTTTTTTTCTTCTTTACTTCGTCACTGTTTCTCTGAACATGCCACGCCCTTTCTTCCACAAGCTGATTTTCTCATCCACTATCCAGGAAAAGCGTCTGGTAAACTCTCTCTCCTTCTCTCCCTCTTCCCTTTATCCAAAAATCTCTTCTTCTTTTTGTTTGCCTTCAAAAGTTTTAATTCTTTGATTTTGATGCGAAATTGAGGGTTTCCAAAGTTAAGAATCTGGTGTCGAGTTTGCAAAGATTATGCGTTATGACTCTTCTTTGATTTCCTGCAATTAAGCTGTTTTTTTTTATTCTTGGTAGAAACCGGGTCAAGGTTGTATTTTTATTCTTTTTCAGTGTTGGGAGCTGAAAAAAATGAGTCAGGAAGATTGAAAAGTTTCATTTTGTAAGCTTGTGTTGTATAATTCGTCTAAATGGGAACTTGTAGATTTGAAATCTACATGTATTGATGGGAATATCTCTTCTCTGACAGCAAACTGAGTGTAGTTTAGGAATGTGTTTCGATTGAGTTGACTTCTGACTATGATAAGATGTATGATTCTGTCAGATTGATGCACTGAGGAGAAAACATTGAGATCTGTTTTGCATACTCTATTTTCACTGTCTTCTCAGTTTTGACTAAATAGGTCTGAGATTTTAGATTCCTTATTGATAATAGAGTATTGTATCTTGTGAGTGAAACTTTAAAACTGAGTAGTGATTGACTTTTGTTATCTAAATGTCTATGTTTTAAGTTTCTTCTTGTTTCCTTAAGATAAAGTGTTTTGTGTAGAAAAAAAAAGGAGAGCGCATTTACGGTTTATTATCTGCTTTATTATCACAGTAGATGATACAGTTTGTGGATTGTTATGGACAAACTTAAATACTATTTGGTTCTCAATTTTGCATATAAGCAAAGAGAAACTCCCAGGAATAAAACTTTCGGTTAACATAGGCTTGAATGTTTACCTAAAACGTCACAAGCATAGGATTTATTTGATAAGATCGCATAATCTCTCTAGTCAAAGATACATTGTTACAGATATAGTAATGGACTGTGTCTCCTTGTTGGTGCCTTGAAAACTGAAACATGACCATTTGAATTGTGATTTTTAAACTAGGTTCTCCACCAATATCTTGTGTATCTTTATATAATTTTTGTTTTATTTTTTTGCATTCCGGTATGCTTGTGCAGAGAGTCCCAGATAAGTTTGTGAGTAAATTCAAGGACGAGCTATCGGTAGCTGTTGCACTCACAGTACCTGACGGTCATGTTTGGCGTGTAGGACTAAGGAAAGCTGAGAACAAAATTTGGTTTCAAGATGGTTGGCAAGAGTTTGTTGACCGTTACTCCATTCGCATTGGTTACCTTTTGATTTTTAGATACGAAGGAAACTCTGCCTTTAGCGTTTACATTTTCAATCTATCCCACTCTGAGATCAATTACCATTCCACCGGTCTCATGGATTCTGCGCACAACCACTTCAAACGCGCACGTTTGTTCGAAGACCTTGAAGACGAAGATGCAGAGGTCATCTATCCTTCTTCCGTGTACCCATCACCACTTCCTGATTCTACTGTACCCGCCAATAAAGGATATTCTGGTTCAGCCATTCAAAGCTTGTTCACTGGACCTGTTAAAGGTGATTTCTTTTTATCTTTCTTGGAGATCTCCAGCTTACTCGTTCTTTTAAAGATTTGAGTTTTAATATTTACTTTCTTTTTTTTTTCCAGCTGAGGAGGCAACGCCAACCCCAAAAGTTCCGAAAAAGAGAGGGAGGAAGAAGAAAAACGCTGACCCTGGTAAGCATTTTCCCTCTTTTAAACTCTCAAGACTCTTGTTCATCACTATTGATCCTCATTAAAAATCGTTTTGACATTGGTTTATCCAGAGGAAATAAACTCATCTGCTCCGCGCGATGATGACCCAGAGAACCGTTCAAAGTTCTACGAGAGTGCTTCTGCGAGAAAGAGAACCGTGACTGCAGAAGAGAGGGAGAGGGCCATCAATGCTGCCAAAACGTTCGAGCCAACAAACCCTTTCTTCAGAGTTGTTCTGCGACCATCCTATCTATACAGAGGTTGCATCATGGTAATTATTAACAAAAACATCTCAGAACTTCAAGTCAAGATCTTTATTACAACATTTTGAGTGTTGGATGAAAAAAGCCAACATCTACGGGCCATCGTCTAATTTCTTTTTGTGTTTCTTTTCAACAGTATCTGCCTTCTGGTTTTGCTGAGAAGTATTTAAGTGGGATCTCAGGATTCATCAAGGTCCAGCTAGCGGAGAAACAATGGCCCGTGCGATGCCTCTACAAAGCCGGGAGAGCCAAATTCAGCCAAGGATGGTACGAGTTCACTCTGGAGAACAACCTAGGAGAAGGTGACGTGTGCGTGTTCGAGCTGCTCAGAACCAGAGATTTCGTTCTGAAAGTGACAGCCTTTCGAGTCAACGAGTACGTCTGAAACAAGAGATCACTCACTGTAGGTATTATGGTTGTGATCGATCTGCAGTTGGGGGACAATTCCGTGTAGGTGTGTCTTAATTCAAAAACAACTAAAAACTCTCTCTATCTCTCTGTGTCATTGCGTCAGTGTCTCGTTCGCTTTTCTGCTTTTCGATGTGGATAAGTTGTTTTCATTATATATAACCTCTCTGAGTGGAACTCAAATTGTTTGAGTAGAAAAGTTAGGGCTAAGAAGTCTTTAGAAGTTTGTAAATACCTAATCTCCATCAATTTGGTATCGATACTTTGTGACCAAGAAAGATGATATGATGAAGATGGGTTTGTGTTGTTGAATATTCGATTTTTATTTTCTCTCTTCTCCTTTGTTTCTTTTTTTCCTTCTCCTTCGCTTTTGGAAATTTCAAAATCAGAGTTGGCGCGTATGAGCTCGGTTTTCCCTGGAGCAAGATTTTTGTCTTTGTTGCACCAGAATTCAAAAACCCTAATCCAGGCTAAGCAGATTCATGCTCAGCTGGTCATTAATGGCTGCCAAGAGAATTCTCTTTTCGGCAAACTCATAGGCCATTACTGTTCGAAGCCATCTTCAGAAAGCTCAAAGCTTGCTCATTCACTTGTGTTCCCTCGATTCAGTAATCCCGACAAGTTTCTCTTCAATACATTGCTTAAATGCAGCAAACCAGAGGACTCGATTCGGATTTTCGCCAATTGGGCATCGAAAAGCTCGCTGCTTTTCCTCAACGAGCGCACGTTTGTCTTCGTCCTTGGCGCTTGTGCCAGGTCAGCTTCATCTGTTTCGGCGTTGCGGGTTGGCAGAATTGTTCACGGGATGGTGGTAAAGCTTGGGCTTCTCTCCGAATCTGAATTGATTGGAACCACTTTACTACATTTCTACGCAAAGAATGGTGATTTACGTTACGCGAGGAAAGTGTTCGACGAAATGCCTGAGAGAACCTCTGTTACATGGAACGCAATGATCGGAGGATATTGTTCACTTAAGGACAAAGGGAATCACAATGCTAGAAAGGCTATGATTCTGTTTCGGAGATTCTCCTGCTGCGGTGATGGAGTTAGACCTACTGATACAACCATGGTTTGCGTTCTCTCAGCCATCTCTCAAACGGGTCTTCTCGAAATCGGTTCCCTTGTTCATGGTTACATTGAAAAACTCGGTTTTACACCCGAAGTTGATGTCTTTGTTGGTACTGGACTTGTAGACATGTACTCAAAATGCGGTTGCTTAGATAGTGCTATCTCCGTGTTCGAGCAAATGAAAGTGAAGAATGTATTGACATGGACTTCGATGGCAACGGGGCTAGCTCTCAACGGAAGAGGAAACGAAACACCGAATCTTCTAAACAGGATGGCAGAATCTGGGATTAAACCAAACGAAGTAACTTTCACTAGCTTGCTTTCGGCTTATCGTCATATAGGTCTTGTTCAAGAAGGACTCGAGTTGTTTCAGAGCATGAGGACAAGATTTGGTGTCACTCCGGTTATTCAACACTACGGATGCATAGTAGATCTTCTCGGTAAAGCAGGGAGGTTACAAGAAGCGTATGAGTTTGTATTAGCTATGCCTATCAAACCCGACACTATCATGTTAAGATGTCTCTGCAATGCCTGCAGCATTTATGGAGAGACTGTGATGGGAGAAGAGATCGGAAAGGCTCTTCTTGAGATGGAACGAGAGGAGAAGAAGCTGTCTGGTTCTGAATGCGAAGACTATGTCGCTTTATCGAATGTGTTAGCTTCTAAAGGGAAATGGGTAGAGGTAGAGAAGGTAAGGAAAGAGATGAAAGAAAGAAGAATCAAAACAAGACCTGGTTACAGTTTTATTTAAAAATATTTTGTTACAAGGTCAGAATCAAAAACTAATTTCTTGTGCAATTCAAGTTTTGGTTTCATCAAGTCAATAATTAAACATTACACAACACTTGCAGGTCTCGGTTCTGCTAAAAGAACTGTTATTCCCTGAAGACTCTCTTTTCTTCTTCTTCTTCTTCAAGAACGATTGGATTAATCCCATCAACATCTACACGAAGATAAAGAAATTCAGATCCTAATCTTCATACTCATAACGTTGTTATTAAGAACAAAGTCTTTTTTTTTTTGGTTCTTACCGTTTAAAATCTTCTCAAACTCGTTGTCTCTTGGTCTATTCTTGCGTTTGTCCTCTGAGGCACCACCTTTAACAGATTGATCATCTCCCCCTGTACCTTGAGTTGGAAGAAACTCAGCGTCTGTAATGTCAACTACCTCATCGTCGCTGTCACTGATATGAACTTCATCCAGTGGATAGTCAATTTCACAAGCTGAAACATCGAAGATCGTTACAAGGAAACTCGAGTTTCCTTTGTATTTAAATATGAGAAAATGGCCTTCACTGATGGAATGAGCTTCTGCAAATTCACTCCAACCCTCCTGGAACCAAATCTCTTCACCGATCCGTTTAAGCTTTATCGAACGCTTGAATCCCACAGGAGACTCTAATGTAACAACCTCGGAGAGTTTAGACCCTTGTAGCTTTACAAATCTTGTCGGAATCCTCTGTTTTTTAACACAATGAGATTTTCCAGAAAAGAAGTAACAAAAATGTCAGATCTTAAATTCTCTGCATGTCTTTTTTTAAAAAAGAATGATTCTCTGCATGTCTTAAGAACAATTTGTCAATTTTGGTATCCCTTTTAGATCTAATGAGAATGCCAAGTGAATCTGCTGATATAACCTCAAGAAATAGCAATAGAAGTGTAAAGCAACAAAGAATCGAACCAATAACAACATATGCAAACTGTTTTTTTCCAAGTGATACTCTGTTTTAAAAGTGTTTTGTTTTTACCATCATGTTACTCTTCATGGTTGAGGGTAAAACCACCTTGAAGAAATTCTTCACCGGAGATTCAGGCTTCGTCGGTGGCCGGCGGTGAGAGACTGCGGTGACTCTGGCCTGCGTTCCCCGGGTAGTAACCATTTTTTTTTCTTTTCTTTTTACCTTTACTTTCTCAAAGACAAAGAGAGCGGAGAGTTAAAAGCCAAATAAATGAGAAATCGGGAAGGAGATGATTAGTCATTTGTCGTGATCTTGTTGCATTTCACCTGACAAGTGACAAGTTACTTTAATTTTTCTAGTTTCCCAAGACTAATTCAATTTCACTCAAAAAATAAAGGTCAAAGACTCAAAGTTATTATTATTAAAATTCGGAAAATGCATTTGGCTCAAACGTTGATGGAAATATATAGTTTTAATCTCTTGTTTCTTTTTCTTTTTAACAAATGGATAAATAGAAAAGAAGTTTCGCTTTCATACCATTATATATAATTCGTTGCTATATACATTTAAGCTTGTATTAGACTATTAGCATAATGAAGAGATTTTAATCAAGCAAGCCTAATTACATCAATATGCATTAAAAATGTGGCAATGGGTTTTGATTACACAAGTATCAAATGGTTATGAGGTAAATGTGATTATGAGCCAAGCAGCTTCTTCCACCTGGCGTAACCAAGGGTGAGCATGAAAAGGGCAACGCAAAGCGCAGTAACACTCCATGCACACAAAGTAACCAAAAGACGCCATGAATGTTATACAATGGGCATGGTATGTTCATTCCGAACAAGCTTACCAACAATGTTTATGCTGCTATATCACAAATTAACGAGGCTATGGTCAGCACAGTTCAGCTGCAGCTCGATCATTTCGTTTCGTTAATATCACTGTGATTAATGCCTAACGAAGATTTGATGTATTTGATGATGTCCCTATTGCTTCTGGCTCTGGATCCATTTCCTTGTCAAGTATAAGTCTGCCATATTTTCGTTGTCATCCAACAAATGTTTGATTTCATCTCTCACCTGAATCAATGTACAAAGAGCTTTATGTTTCCCTTCCATCAGAAGTTCACAACCACATTAGAGTATCATGAGAAAAGGTACCTTTTGAACACGGGCTAGCAAGCGGGTGAGATTGCCTTTAAGCTTTCAAAGTATATGATATGGGCTGGCTTTTAATTCTCAAAGCCCATAAAGTGTAAAACAATCGGAAAAAAATATTCCGACCTGCCGGAATCGAACCAGCGACCTAAAGATTGTCTGCAACGACTACAGTCTTCCGCTCTACCAACTGAGCTAAGGTCGGCTTCAATATTTTGTTCACAAGTATATTTCTAATACGTTTATTACTTGAACGGAATAGCAACAATCAAAATGTTCATCGCCTTGTTATGCTACTTTTGAGTTTCGAAAAGAAAAAGCCTCAAATTATAGTTAAAGTGGGCAATTTAATTGGAAAAGTGCGATAATTTGTTTGAAATTTACTTACGAGGTAAGTAGAGTCGTACCGACTTTACATTATATTTTGTTGCACGAATCACGATTCTAAGATGTAATTCTAAGCAAGCGAACGCCTAGACAGATTATGCGAATTACTTAAACACAAATTATGTTATTTATATATAATGCTTTACTCTTTTCAATTACCCCTTAATTTAGCATCCTTGACTAATCCGAATTAGACCTAGGATGCTAGAATTCCATGTTGCTGAGTTAGTGTTTGAGTGTGTGAAAATATTTTAATCGTCGTGATCGGGTTTCACAATTTACTTCATCGTGTATTTATATGATAAACGGAGCATATAGATTCCTAAGGTTTAAATGAATTATTAATACTGAAAAAGAAATGTGGAGTTTTATGATTAACCTAATAAGAACTTTAGTAGTCTACCATTTGACGATTTGCAAAGTGAAATAGTCAAGATTATGGGCTTAATCATTCTTAATAAAGTAAATTCAAATGGACGAGAACCTAGTGGGACTTTGCCTAATTACGTTGTTGAAGAATACTTATAATTAACCTTATGGTGTTTGTTGGTAAGTTGTAACCTTAACATTTTTAATAAAAAGGCACCGACTAATCTCATCCTATAGTATTAGAACAGACTCATATGAGTTGACTTGATAGCGAAAACTTATATATATACCCATGGTCATCATATTAAATTAATTAATTTAACACAGGTTTTCTACGAAGCTTAAGCATACTAAATCAATCAGTCGTCTGAATACGAATATATCATTGACAAAAAAGTGCTTGGTAATAGTGGTAGAACAAGATTAATATAATTAGCTTTTCATGCTATTTGAAATAGAAGTTCAATGGTGTGTATATATGTCAATGTGCATAGATATACTTTATGCTAATATTTAGATTTGTATCAAACTTAAATCCGACGAAAGGGGGACTTTTTACATATACTCATCAATACAGCAATAAAATATCACTTTTAATTTTCCAGTGACTACCTCTTTTTTCAACAAATTGAACTAACAAATCAACCTACCATGCTGTCCCAAAAAAAAAAAACCAACCTACCATAGTACCATACGTATTTAAAATCTTAAATTCCAAATTCAATATTCTACCAGATCAATTTAAAAATAATTAACTCAAAAAATACGAGTCGTACAATGTCCATCTATGTGGTGTAGTTAACGCAACAAGTATTGGTTTTACACTTGGTTGGCCTTCTATTATCTATGTTACATAAGTGTATGGTCATTCATTAGCTTATCGTAGAAGTAGGGTCATGGTTCCTGAATTTTAAACAATTGGCTGAATGACTTATCTTGGGTTTAAGACACAAGGATTAGAGTTCTTCGATGTAATTTTAATCATGGTTGATCACTGTGATTAATGCCTAAATTAACAATAAAATATTGCGTTTCATGTAGTCTTCTGATCATATACTTTGGAAAGTAGTTTGCATCTTTTTTTTTTTTGTCTAAGAAAATTGTTTACTAATACAATGCATTTTTACTTTTGTTGTTGTATGCAAATTAGTATTCTTCATTTTTTTTTTGACTAAAACCGGGGGAGAGCCCCCTTAATTTATTAAAAATCTAAAAAAAAACCAACTACAAACGAACATTTCTAGGACAGGTAAAACCGTTCTCATCCTCTAAAACAATTGACTGGACACCTTCTAAAGCAAAGTTAAACATATGAAGACCTAACGGTAATGAAAACGCATAGTTCGCTAATCCATCGGCAAGACGATTAGCTTCCCTATACACGTGAGCAATGCGGACTGTCCAGTCCATTGATAGATAGCCATGGCACAATCGTACCAGGAAAGACAGCGGGTGTGAATCATTTATCCCTGTCTTCAGAAACACAACTACAATCTCGGAATCCACCTCCAGCTCCAAACGCGTGATTCGTTTTTCCCAAGCGATGACCAGTCCATAATACACTCCCCAAAGTTCCGCCAATGGGGCTGAACAAATACCGATATTTAAAGCAAACCCTCCCCTCCATTTTCCATCAACGTCTCTCAATACCCCGCCCGCTGTAGCTAGCCCTAGGTTACCGTGAGATGCACCGTCCGTATTGAGCTTCACCCATCCTTCACTTGGAGGTTTCCACGCGATCCATCTCTGTTCGGTTGTCGTTTTCCTCTTACTCCCATGGACTAACGAGTGCGCCACCGTGACCTCCCTAGCTAGATCACGTAAAAATTTTACCCGATCACGCCATTTCTCTCTCCTCCCAAACACATCTCCACATCTCCATTTCCAACTCCACCAGACCGCCATCGAGAACAGAGTAGCCCATAAGCTTCCATCGGAATCCGTCGCATCTCCTAGATTACCATACAACCACTCGATCAATGACTTAGAGAAAAACGCTTGTCTCTGGCGAAGAGGAACTAAACGATTCCATACTCCAACCATTGCCGGGCAGTCTCGCAACACATGGAGAATGGAATCATCACCCCCTTTACACACTTGACACAAGCTTGTATCACACAAATGTTGTCTATATCTCTCCACATTTGTCATTAACGCTTGTTGAGTAACTAGCCAAAGGAAGACCCGAACCCTCTCAGGCGCGATCACTCTCCATACCCGCTCAAACAATCTCTCTAGGTTCGGTCTTGGTATCTCATCTCTCGTCAATAAGGAGTATGCGGATTTCACCGTGTACATTCCGTTAGATTCCTCTCCCCAAGATATCCTGTCCAATGATCCCGTCATATTTACCACCACCACCGATGCAAGCTTAAGGGTCACCTCATGTGACACATATGGTGCAATACAATTTAAATCCCACCCCATTCCATTTGTCCATAGCTCACAAGCTCGAGCACCCACATCTTGGAACGGTAACCCACCTACTACCACCTCCGTCAAGGGCCTGTTTAAAACCCATTTATCTGTCCAGAATCGCACTTCCTGCCCGTCCCCGAGAACCCAGGTAACACCCGGTAACACCACCTCTCTTAGCCCCAGTCTCACACTCCGCCACGTAGATGACCAGGTACCTTTCGGCACCAGCCAAGTTGTATCATGTATATCCCGAACTTTATACTTATGCCTTAGCACCCGTGCCCACAAACTGCTTTGATCATGTAAAAGTCGCCATCCCACTTTCCCCAGTAAGGCTCGGTTCATTGATTTCGCTGAACGGATACCAAGCCCACCTTCACATTTCGGTATACACACTCTGTCCCATGCAATAAGATGTTGTTTCTTCCGCTCAAGAGTACGTCCCCAGAGAAAGGCCCTCGACACCCGATCAAGCTTGTCCAGTATGCTCGCTGGTAACATAATTATGCTCATATTATGAACAGGAATAGACCCAATGACCGCTTTCGTCAAAGTTACTCTTCCAGCTAAGCTCAGAAACCGACCCTTCCACCCAGCCAGTCTCGATGTGACCCTCTCCAAATTCTCACCAAATGTGTCCTTGTTAATCCGTTTCTGCAGGATTGGCATTTCCAGGTACTTCCCCAACTCCTTAGTGGCTTCGATACCACTTTCATCGCTTATGAGCTTTGCCAAATCGCTATGTACATTCCCTGAGAAAAATATCTTTGATTTTGCCAGGCTGACTTTCTGCCCCGAAGCTACACAAAAACGCTCCAACACCTTCCGTATCACTCTTATTTGTGCAACTGAAGCTTCGGCGAAGAGAATCAGATCATCTGCGAAACATACGTGCGACAACTTCGGTCCCCCACGAGAGAGACTAATCGGCTTCCACTCTTTCAGGCTAACGGCCATTCCAATCTGATGACATAACCTCTCCATACACAAGACAAAAAGGTATGGTGACAATGGATCTCCTTGTCTCAAACCCCGCGATGGCTGAAACGGTTCAGTTTTTTCTCCATTCCATAAGACATTCATCGACGGTCCAGTGACACATTTCATGATCCAAGCAATCCACATTTCGGGTAACATTGCCGCTCTCAACGTATCCTCTAGGAAATCCCAACGTATCCTGTCATAAGCCTTCTCAAGATCGAGTTTTAGAAGCATCCAACCCTTGCGACCTTTCTTTCGACGCATCGAATGGACCGCTTCCTGAACAATAACTATATTATCTGTGCTTAGTCTCCCTGGGATAAAACTTGACTGTGCTGGACCAATTAACTTCGATATCACTGTCTTTAAGCGCATGACCATTGTTTTTGTAATTATTTTAAACAAAACATTACACAAACTAATCGTCGAAACTGCGTTATTCTCTCCCGGCTTCTCCACCTTTCGGAATTAAGACCACAAGTGCATCATTCATTGCTGTTGGCAAGGCATTATTCTCAAAGAACTCCAAGACAAATCTCGTCACCGATGGCCCTACAACCTCCCAACTATGCTGATAAAACCCAGGATTAAAACCATCTGGTCCAGGCACTTTAAAGCGACCCATACTACGCAGAGATGTCTCCACCTCCTCGGAAGTAAACGCTCCATTTAAAACCGAAAGCTCCTCATGAGTGAGGTGTTCAAAGCCCACAGCTGGTAACCTCTACACCACCTCATCTACGTCTTGAAGCGAATATAATCTCTTGTAGTAATTCACACCAAGAGTCTCCAATTCCGATGCATCCGAAACCCATCTCCCCTCTTCATCTTTCAGCATCTCTATCCGGTTTCTTCTCCTCCGAATAATAGTCATCGTATGGAAATATTTTGTATTTCTATCCCCCAACGCAATCAGCTTCTCCCTCGATTTTTGAAACCAAAGCACCTCCTCCTGTTCCAGTACCACATCAAACGCTTTAATCAACTCTTCCTCTTTGTTCAACAATGCATCCGTTTGACTTATATCTAGTAAGTCTTGCACAGCTTTTATTTCTTCAATTAACGCATCCTTTCGTTTGTGGATATCCCCGAACACTTCTCAATTCCATTTTCGTAGCTTCACACGTAAACCATCCAAAGCCTCCGGAGTATTTATGTCATTCTTCCAAGAATTTTCCAGCAACTCTCTGAACCCCTCATGTTTCAACCAAGCCGCTTCAAAATGAAAAGGTCGCCTAGTCGGATCACCTCTCACCTCCGGCTGTAGTTGAACATACAGCGGTGCGTGATCTGACGACAAAAACGGAAGATGTGTCACTCTTGCGTCCTGCCATTTTAACCTCGCATGTGGGCAACACATAACCCGATCCAATCTCTTCGATATACATGTATTCGCCACCCTTCCACGTCTCCAGGTAAATTTATTACCCCGAAATCCCATATCAATGAGTGATAGTTCGTGTATCCATTCCCCAAAAGCTAGTGAATCCAATGATAACCTTCCACTGCCTCCTGAACGTTCATCCACTCTTAGGATTGTGTTAAAATCCCCGCCTACGAGCAAAGGACCAGATACGCCTTGAACCATCGTCTTTAACCGGTCCCATAACCCGCTTCTTCTAGTCACCGTCGGTGCTGCGTAAACCACCACAAGGTTCAAAATCTCCTCCCCATTCGTCACTTTTGCGTAGATAAATTGATTCGAAGAATCCACAATATCCACCACGCCAACACATGATCTCCACAATAACCACAACCCACCACTATGCCCCACAGCATCAACCCGAAAGGAATTGTCAAACCCCAATCCTTGACAAATAGCTCTTGCTCTATCCTCTCCTGCATGCGTCTCGAAGATTGCCAAAATATCCGTTGGAAACTTCTTTAGCATATATCTTATGGAACGTCTAAAATTGGGTTTATTTGCCCCCCGGCAATTCCATAATAAACAATTCATCATTACAATGTAAACAACTTGTAGAACTACCGGGGAAATCCGTCATGCTTGTAAACCCCCCCTTCCATCACCGAGGACTGTATCCCCATAGCATTCCCCTCTTTCTCCACCTCCGTCATAATCACCGCCACCTCCGTACTAAGATTCGCAGTTACAACTTCCTCCATTTTCTTTGCTTCCTCCACACTCTCAAATCTCCCTCCAGGTCTGCCCACCGAACCACTCTCCACACGTAAACGTTTACCCGATGTAGACAACGTCACCTCTCCTCTTGTTGGGCCAAAAATCAGTCCACGAGTTGGTTGAGCCACCATATTGCTCCTACTCCTCCCCCCATGGCTCGTATTAGACTTGGCCAATTTAGTTCCTCCCATTCTTGTATTCTGATAAATCCCTTTACTGCTACTAGACTCATGATTCGCACCTTGTTTAAATTTCCAGCCCTTTGCTTGCATAGCACTCTTCCCTTCACGTGATGGAATCTCAACTTTCCCATTTGTTTCCTCACCTCCTCGGACCGCGTTGACTTCCCGTAATTCCAAATATGTCATATCCTGCTCCAGCCCATCAAACCTATTTGACATCTCAATATTCCCCGAAGTTCTCTGCATATTCTCCTCGACGTCAATACCCGAGCTTCCCACATTAAACACCATACCATTAGGGTTAACTGCAAAGCCCCCTCTCCGCCCTCGTACCTCCGTGAATCCATCTCCAACCTGAGAATTACTAGTCACTTCTGCCACCATAGTTGATTTCGGAGATCCAGCACCCTCCTCTCTTCTCCCATTTGGGCATGTGTGTACTAGATGCCCGTATAAACCACAGGTCGCACATATATTCGACATTCCCTCATAAGCCACATAATATCTCTCCCCGTTCACCATCACTGTCCCCTTTAGTGGCTTCTTGAGGTCTACCTCCACACAAACACGGGCAAAACGAGCTCTCTCAAAGTTCAGTGTCATTGCATCCACCTTCACCGGTTTCCCCAAACCCCGCGCAATCCCCATCAAGATCGATCGATGATAGAAATTTACTGGGAGATTTGCTAGACGAACCCAAACCGGCGTTGTCACTATGTCATGGCTTAACGGATCAAAATCCGGTGACCAAGCTTGCACCATAAAGTAACTCTCAAACGCTCTCCACGGTCCACCCGTTAGCGCCGCCAAGTACTCCGCCTCAACCTCGAACGTAACCATGAAGAATTGTCTCGGTAAATCCATCACATACATAGCCCCTCGTGGCTGCCATAACTCCTTGAGCTTTCGACTCATATTCGAGATCGGGATATTACGACCTAGCACCTTAACAATCATACATTGTTTCCACAAACCATTCATCGCCTCTAAGACTTCTGTGCCGATCGTAATCACTGGTTCTCCCCCTTCCCCATCCGGAAACTCCAGCACCAACCGCTCCGTCACAAACGCATCATCCAAAACACTCTCGGGACAAAGTCTCCCACCAACACCACCCTCCGATACCTTCTGTACCCATGAGCCCGACCCCAGCCTGTCTGGGGGCCTGTCCTTCTCACTCACCTCCATCATCGTCACCTCTCGTCCACCATCTTTCAAAACCCTAATATCGCCGTCGCCATCGCCCATCGCAAAATCTAATTTGGTGAATGAACCTTCGAAAATTAGTACTTTGGTATTATTATTCTTCATTTATGTCTCTTATTTTCTTCCTTTGATTTTTTTTCAATAGTTTTCTAATTACCCACTTGACATAAAAGAAATATTCATTCCTCATATAGTGCGAAATGAAGGGATTAAAATAGCTAGCTAGAGATATTTGACTAGGATTAAAATAGAGATATTTGACTCGAATTCGTGAAACAGATGATCGGATTTGCGAATTACAAACACGTTTATTATTATAAGCTAAACATTAATTAGATCAAACGTAAAGGTATACCATATATCACAAATTTAGTCTAATCCTCTCTCCAGATATTAAATCACTAAACTTTAGATTCTCCTACTGAAGTTTTTCCACTTCAGGTTCTTCATTTGAATCGAATTTTTCATTTTGTCGAACCATTTTTGAATGTGTATGTATATATGTCAATGTGCATGCATAAATATATAATTTTGCATGACACTTACATCCTACGATAGTGAGACTTTTCACATAAATTCGTGAAGACACCGATACTAATTTACATCAAATTTCCAAGGGCGACATTTTATTCAACAAAGAAAGCTAAGAAATCAGCCTAACGTACGTACGTATAAAAATGTTTATCTTTTACAATATCGGTTTAAAATAACCAAGAAACATACTGCATTTTGAACGAAGTCCATATAATCAAGTAATAAACAAAATCTCATTAATATAATACAATGAAATAATATACGGTTTGTTTTCCCTTTTTCTGAACATATAGCAGAATCATTTTCACTTTTTTATGTTTCTTTTCCAAACGTAATTCAAATATGTGCAGTTACAGTCTACAAAAAAATAAGGAATAAAATAAAGGAACTTTCTAAACCTTTTATATACTTTCATTACGTGGCAGCTTTTAATTGGACGTATGATCTGCTTCTTTTTGCCGGCCATAAAAAACTTGCCTTGACCACAAAGGCAAGAATCACATAGGCCGCGTAACAATTCCCTTTCAAACGTAGTCCACATCCCCACGCGCGTTAAAAAGGCGCGTGATCTCTCATCCTCAAAAGTACATCTCAGCCAATCACCGCGTCTCCGCCACGCGCCACACCTTCACCGATTTATCCAAGCTTCCACTGTACACTATCCATCTTCCTTGGCCGTCTTCCTCCGCCTCTTCCACCGCCGTCAAACACTTAACGGGTCCCACGTGGTCCATCAACACCGAGAGACACGAGTGGGTCCCATCGCCGTTCCTCCTCCACACGCAAATATTCTTATCCGCTCCGCCGCTCAACACCAGACTCCCGGCGGCGGCGAGACAGAGCACCGCCATACGATGGCCGCGAAGAGACCCGCCGTGAGAAAGATATTTCTGCCCTTCCCAAAAATTAACGGAGCCGTCAGAAGATCCGCAGTAAACAACAGACGCCGTTAAATTAACCGCTAACGCCGTTACAGCGTTCTCTTGCTTCATCAACACATTTACCAGAAAATGCTTCGTCCCTTTCCCTTGAAGCTCGCGTTTCCACACTTTCAGTGTTCCGTCGGCGGATCCGGTGAAGAGCAAATCGTCGAATCCGGCGGCTACGGTGTTGATCGCGTCGTCGTGAGCCGAGATCGATTCGAGACATTTCGAATCGGAGAGTCTCCAGATTTTGAGTGTCTTGTCCCACGAACCGGAGTAGAGTAAACCGAGCTCCTCGTTCACGCTGAGACACGAAACGGCGTCGTAGTGTCGGATCTTCAGAACGTTTTTCCGGCGACGAACCTCGACGTAGTTCTTCGGATTCACCGATTTCGTCAAAAACTCTTTCATAGTGGGTAAGCTCCCGACTCGGGAATACCCACCGGTTCGTCTCTTGGACCCTCGCCAAACCCGGATTTTACCGTCTTGATGACCGGTGAAAATCCGGTTATCTCCGGTTATCACAATCGCTTTAACCAACCCGCTGGTTGATTTAAAACCGGCGAAATCCTTGAGATCTTTCCAGACCCGAATGTTCTTGGAGTCGGATCCAGTGAAGAGAAGATCTCCAGAAGCAGCCAACGAGTAGACATGACCTTCTTGCCTCACGATTGTACCGATCAAACCGTTGACTGGATCGTCGTCGATGTTTCGGGTCTGGTAGATCCAGGGAGACTTGTAGTACGGTGAGTAAGTCTGGTTCCACGGAGACGGAGACATCGTCGGCGTCGTTGTTGTTGTTGTGTCGGTGTAGTAAGGAGAGTATGTCTGATTCCATGGAGATAAAACCTGATTAGGAGACGAATCGCCGCTCGTGGTCGAAGCATTGCTTTGAAGTTGTTGGGAATAAATAACATTGTTGCTAGTGCTGCTGCTGCTGCTACTGGGATTGTTGATATCACCACCGTGGCTCTTTTCTTCTTCGTCGGCGATGGGATCGGAGTTTAAGAAGGCGGCGAAAGTGAGTCTTCGGTGATGAGTACCACTGGTTTCTGCAGCTATTACCATATTTTCCGGGAATGAAAAAAAAAATGATTGAGTAGTTGTTGTGGGGTTTCTTTTTCTTTTATGAGGGATTAATTGGGTTTTAATTTCGTTGTCGTGTGGAGAAATTTCGAGGGAAATAAAAAAAAAGAAGTTTTGAAATCGTTTTCTCGGGATTGGGAGAGAAAATTATTATGTGGGATTGGTGAGAATTAAGGAATGTTGAAATAAAAGAGTGTGAAGAGGAAGTTGGGTTGGGTTATATATAGAGAAGCCGGAGGAGTAAAAGTTGGTGAACGGACGACGTGGGTTACTGACACGTGTCTTTTAGAGTTGGAGACGTGATCGTCACATACCGGGATCGCCAGTTTTCACGTGAGACCCAGAGACCGTATTAAGAATATTAAAGTTATAGAGTCAGTGGTTAACATTGTAACTTTTTTTTTTTAATATGGAAATATTGAAAGTTTTTCTCTTTGTTGATGGGAAAGTAAATGGACGGTCTATAAACAATGTGTGTATTAAGTTAACCGTTACAAGTTTTTGGTTTAGGTTTTTTAAATTTAATTGTATTAACAAAAGTGATGCACTCAAAGCATGTAGGATATGGTTAATCGTAAATGAAATCTCTCATGTTCTTTGTTAGTTTCACATAATTTTTTCAGATATTTTTACTTAATATCATTTTTATATATCACAAGACCCCAATTCTTCTGGATTCTTCAACGATTAGATAGCTTTATGTTATTCTGTAAATAAAATTTGGATTAACCAAAAAAAGATGAATGAAGTTAAACGTAATGGTAATACATGTGGTCTCATGTCTGAGCAATGTGAAAGTAGTTGAACATGAGATGCGTCCGTACAAAGAATCGAGTTTTTCTAAGAAGTTTGGTTGGATAATTCATAGTAGTAGACATAAGATAGATAACGTGTGTGTGGCTGTGTTGGCGGCTGATCATCTTCACACGTTGCATAACATTACGTAACGGTAACACTATTGATTTTTATTACATACTTGGGTTTTTATGCTTTCATTTTTAATTTTGACATGTGAGGAAACAAGAAAAAATAAAATTTCTTCCAGATGATTGACTTTTCTGACTTTCCATGAACGATAGAAGTTTGATTCTCTTTTTTCTTTGTTAAGCATTTGTCTACTCTTACGAATTGTAAGCAAGTTGTAAAAGAAAAAACAAGTTGCAAATCTTCTTTTTATTTCTTTAATTGCAAAACAGTTATTTTAAATGTGTTTCTTTTCTTAAAAAAAAAAAAGTACAACCGAAAACAACGACTCTAGGTCTCTCTATTTATTCATACTTGGTCTTTACTCTTTTCGTGTTGATTGACTTTCATTACGTTACAGAGGAAGACATTTTATATGTAAAGTACATTTTTGGATACATTTGGGGAAATGTTAGAATCTTCTATAACATGTGAATTCGTATAATCATCCAGCTTAGAATTCGAAAAGTTACAGAGATCATCAACCATCTGTGCCTCATTTGTTTGCTTCTAACGATCTTTCAAATATAATATACAATTTCTATCATCTTGACCAGATTGATAACGTAAATTTTTTTTTCAGTAATTGTATACTGTTAAATTGTGAAAAATTAATCTTGATTCAGTACTAACGAATCACAACTATAAATTCCAATTCTAGATAGGGATTCAAAATAATATAAATTTTTAAAATTATGATTCCAATCTATCTTGAATCTTGACAATCCAGTTCAAGACCGGTTAAAATAAATAAAAACCATGACATTCCAAGTAAATGATTTCTTAATAAAAGAACTGACCCGACCCTCTATTGTCAACCCCTATTTATTTGAAAAAATCAGAAAATAAATCTTGACAGCTAGCACAGTTTTGACATTTTAGGGTTTCATATAAAATAAAATATCCTAGTTTACCTTTTCTCCATTTATTTATATTTGAAAAAAAATTAAAATGGTAATTGTCAATGGTCATGGACTCGAATTACAGAACGGCGGCGTTTTAAAATTCAAGGACGTTTGTCAGTATGGGACCCATCGAATCCCAACTCCTTTCACATTCACATGATTATTGTACTTGTCATTGGTCGTGCTCTATCCATCTCTGCAGAACGTTACTACTACGATATCAATACGACACTATATTTTTCTACGATTATATCGAATATTCAAATCAGGTTCAATACTTTTTTATTGAGTTCTTGCTATGTTCTAAATGTTTTGGTTGAGATCAAAGCTATCATTTAATTTGCTATTCGACTTGCTCTCTAATCCTTATTTTGCCAGTAATTAAATACCGAAAACATATAGAAAATATCGTCGATTTGACACGACATGCTAGATCGAGCTTGAATGATTCAGAACGCATTTGTCACTTTCAGTAACCAGAACTAAACACCGTTTTAATCAGACAAGATTGCATTTTTTTCTTCATTAGGAGAAGTTTTCACTTTGCACGCCGTTCATTTGACACGACATGCATGTATTATTATGTGATAAGTTTGAATTATTATACGATCGATCGCTGTCTAATATATAACAACATTTCCACAAATATAAAATCGTTGTCACAAATATGTATGGTACGTACGCATGCCGTCACAGCTATGGCAAAAGTGCAAGCCCCATATATTATACCAATTACAGAAATGCTAAGGATACTATAATTTCCCTCACCGTATATGTAATGACATTTATCATTATTATAAAAACGCCACTATATCTTTGGAAGTTCCAAACAGCACAGCCATACGAATGGACAATGAAACAAATTTTTGTTACCCACTAAGTAAGGAGTTCTGAAATAATTATATATTGTACATTTTTCTTCATCTTTTTGGGTGGCTTAGCTGATCCTAGTCGATGCGCGGTCCGAATAGAAACTGAACATTCTGTATAAGCAGAAATGAATTTTTAATGTGCATAGATACATCTAACAGTACAAAGTACACAAATTCTATAGTTTTCCCGTTAAGTACAGAGAAAAAAATATCATACATATAGAAACTCACCACCTTATCGATTTACATAGTATATTTGGTAGACTGAAATAAGATAGTTTCAATATGTTTTTTTTATACAATTAATACAATATTTTGTTTTACGCACTACAAGAAAATATGGATTTAGTGACCACAAGAATAGTCGCTATGTAGTCGCTAATTGTCCATTTACGACATATTAGCGACTAACTCAATTGGTCGTTAATATTGAGTCGCTAAATAAAATAGTCGGTAATCAGTCACTAAATAGCAACTGATGAAGGACTCAAGCCTGTCGAAGTAAATTAGTCGTTAATCAGTCGGGAATTTTGCGACTGATTAACGACAACGTTTGTGACTCAATCGCAACTAATCAGCAACTATTTTTACATTTTCAAACGGTAATTTGGTGCAATTTAACCACTGTTTACCGACTAATTCCCGACAACTTTGCGACTGATTTACTACTGCACTAGATTTTAAGTCCGTGCGTCCGCACGGGAATGTTTTATTTTTATATCTAATATAAGTTGCATTTATTTATTTGTTTAGATATAATTTGTTTTTGTTATTTATTTTTTTAAATCCAAAAATTGTTATTATATTTTAATTTTAAACAGTAAAATTTGTATATTAGTAGAATAAGAGTATACGTTAATTAAGTATACATTGATCTAATGTTAATTATAAACTTTGTTATTATGTGAATTTAGATTTACACATAAACAATCTTCATATCTATGAATTTACTAATCCATCCGTTTAGTTGTCTTAAATCATTTTTAATATCTTACATGTTTTGACAAACTAACCCGTATAAGACTATAATTATAATTGTATAACCCTATAAATACTAATATGGAATATTTGGACCAATTGATTATGAAAAAAATATAATAAGATATTTATTTACTATTTGTGCTATTAAAAAAATGTATATATATATATATAAACGGGCTAACCTGTTAGTTTTGTCTCAAATCATCTTAATATCTTACATGTTTTAATAAATTAACTCATGGACCTTATATATATATAACTCTAATCAGCTCGATCATATTATTGTATAATATAAATATTTATTAATCTCAAATATTTGATATTTTAGACCGATTGTTTATGATAAAATACGATAAAATATTTATTTACTATGCATTTTTATAAAAATATTATTTAAATTTAAAAATTTAAATTAAATATTTCCTGTATTTAAGAAATTGTAAAGTATTAAAATTATAATCTAAATTTTCGTAATAAATTTTAATTATATATTTTTTTTATTTTTTGAATTTAAATTAAATTGAATGCAAATTTTTGTAACTAAATTTAATTAAATTTTTAATAATTTGAAATTTAAATTAAAGATAACCTAGATTTTAGGAAATCTAAAAATATCCCCCTTAATACCTAATTCCGGAAATTATATATAACATAAAACAATAATATATAAAAAAAAAATTTAGAGTGTTTGATGCAAGCACTAAATGTGCTTCTGTTTTAATAGAATAGATTGTGACTGTTTTCATAATGAAAATTCATTTTGGTATTACGAATTTGCTCCTCAATACCTTGTAATTTGAATCCACTTATAGATTTTATAACAAATTTGTTTCAAATAATAATTAGACACTATGAAAAGAAGAAGCATAGAAACATTAAATTACATATGTTCTTCTAAAAAAAAAGAGATGACATACAAAGTCAAATGTCATAGTAACTTCCATTGGAAAATGAGTTACTATATACAACCATGGAGATAAGTCAAAACGAGATCAAAGTCATTGAAAAAAGTTCTAGAGCCTAAGATTCCGAGAGATTACTAGAGAGTTCAAAGGAGACCAAAAGAGTTGAGAGAGGTAGAGTAACCTATGCTTCCGGGAGAATAATGGTTTGAGGAGCAGAAGTCATCGAAGCAGCATCGTCTGGATCTTCAGAGGTGTTGTTTGTGGCCAAAAAGTCTAAAAACGCTGGATCAGTTGCAGCCAAATACCTTTCGACCAGGGAGAGTTTGTCGATCTTCGCTTGTTGCTCTGCAGAAACTCTTGTAAGCTCGGACTTTTGCCTTGCATTCTCAGCTGCTTGTTCTTCTATTTTGCGTTGAGCTTCTTCTAGTTGTTCTTGCAGAATCTTGTATTTTGAAGAGCTACCCGAGTACTTCCTCTTTCCCTTGATATGCGACTGTGAAAGGCTTCCAATTCCATATGGAATGCCTCTTTCATTT